GTGAGAAACACTTGGAAATCCAAGTGTTTCCTATCATACTCTCACTAGCAGCCAAGTACAACTGACATTTGGAACAATTAGATGTGAAAAATGCATTCCTGCATGGGTATTTGGAAGAAGAAATATTTATAGAAATACTATCAGGGTTTAAGGAAAAATCTGGAAGTAACAATGTGTGCAGATTAAAAAAGGCTCCATATGGGCTCAAACAATCACCAAGGGCCTGATTGGGAAGATTCTCAAAATTTATATTTTTAATGGGTATAAACAAAGTCAAGGAGATCATACACTATTCTTTAAATGCTCAGACTTAGGGGAAGTTACCATACTACTCGTCTATGTGGATGATATTATCTTAATTGAGAATAATGAAAAAGAGAAAGAAAATCTAAGGAAAAACCTTACCAAGGAATTTGATATCAAAGAATTTAGTAGGCTAAAATACTTTCTCGGAATTGAGGTAGCCCACTCTAGTAAAGGAATCTTCATCTTGCAACAAAAGTACATTAAAGATATTCTAAAAGAAACATGTAAACTACCTTGTAAACCAGCATCGACACTAGTAGAATCTAATCTTAAACTGGGGGAAGCAAGAGAAGATCTAGATGTAGATAAAGGGGCCTATCAGAGACTTGTAAGAAAATTAATCTAACTCTCTCACACCAGACCAGATCTCTGTTTAAAATTGCGCAATTAAAGGCGTGCCTCAAGGCGCGCCTTTGCGCAATTTGACCAAAAAATGCCTCGAGGCTTATGCAATTCTTCACCTGGCTGAGGCGCCGCCTAGAGGCGCATTGCGCAATCGGGTGAGGCGTACGCTCACAGAATAGGCCTCCACCCGCTAAATGAACCCTCTTCCTCCCTTCATCCCGCACGGTGCCCTCATTTCCGAAAAAATTCCCTCAGATCTCTGTTCGCCAACGAAGCGTCCCCGCACGGCGCCATCCTTCGTGAGTTTTGTACTTTGGACATGATTTTATGCATTCTACTTCTTATTTCACTATTTCATATATCATTTAGATGTTTTTATTTTAAGTACAATATTGCTATGATTTTCCTGCCTAAAACCTGATTTTTCATTACGCAATTCTGTGTCCGTGAGGCTACGCCTCAAGGACGCTCGAGGGCTTACGCCTCGCCTCACGGATGAAAACCGCCTCGAGGCTTAATTACGCAATTTTAAACCTTGGACTAGATATAGCATTTGCTATAAGTATAGTCAGTCAGTTTATACAAAATTCAAAATGGGTTCATATGCAAGCAGTAGATAAAATATTGCACTACCTTAAAGGTAACCTAGGGAAAAAAATTCTCTTTAGAAGCAACTAAGAAATAACCTTAGAGGCATACACCGATGCAGATTATGTAGGATCACCAGTGGACAAAAGATCTACTTCTGGGTATTGCACATTCCTGGTAGGAAACCTAGTTACATGGAGAAGCAAGAAGCAGAACATGATAGCAAGATCCAGTGCAGAAGCAGAATATAGAGCTATGACCCTGGGAATATGTGAGGTCCTATGGATAAAAAATAATTCTGGATGATCTGAAGATCAAATGGGACAAACCTATAAAACTACATTGTGACAACAAATCAACAATAAGCATAGCTCACAATCTAGTTCAACATGACAGGATCAAGCACATAGAAGTTGACCGACATTTTATAAAAGAAAAATTGGACAGTGGAGTCGTATGTATCAAACATGTACCATCAAAAGATCAACTTGCAGATACCCTTACCAAAGGAGTGGATCAAACTATCTTCCTCAGAATGATAGCCAGGTTGGAAATGATAGATCCATACTTCACAGCTTGAGGGGGAGTGTCAAAATCCAGCCTTTTAAGAGCAAACCAATCCAATGGCTACAATGCTCAATCCGTGGGACGCAGGACTCACGCAAGAACTCTTTCCATATTCGAGTTGCTGATTTAGGAAGGATTATATTAGAATTATTTTGTAATTATTTGTTTTCATATTAAGTTATATTGTATAGATCTATAAATAGAGGAGAAATCATGTAATAAAGTATGCTTTTCTTTTCAAACCTCCGATTTCTATCACAAATGAATGTTAATGTGAGATCCTTTGTCATTTATAACGTTAGGTGTAATTTGTAATGTTTGGACGCTTATCTTTTATGTAATTAATGTCAGTCTGGATATGGTGAAGGTAGCGGCATATATGCACTTCATACAGGTGGATCTAGAGCAGGTAGTTATATAATCCTATTGTTTAAGTCGGCTCCTTCTACCTCATTTGTTAATATGCTAATATGTTCTTTTGCTTTGCTTTCTCATTGTTCCAGTTGCATTTGCTCAGGTGGGTTTCTCTTGCCCAGGTTTATACAAACAAGTTGTGCTCTCACAATTTTGTTTTGTAAATTATCCCCAATATCTTTATAAGCATCTTCTAATCATCTTTTGCTGATTTTAGTATTCCACTATTCCTTCATTATTTATTCCATTTAGAAGCTGCATGAGGATTTTTTTTGTGGTGATTTGTCTTTTTATTAGATGAGCAATGCCGCGGCTATTGCAGCTGCATTTGATGGTGGTCTGCCTGCTGGTATCAGTGGTACTAATGACCGGTGTACACTCATTGTCTCTAACTTGAACACAGATGTAAGTAGTCTCTGCCAGTTGGAATTTCCTCTACTGTTTCTACTTGAGATTCTAGTAGTTGAAGCATCGCCATTGGATTCTTCCTGCAGAAAATTGACGAGGACAAGCTTTTCAATTTGTTTTCTATGTATGGCAACATTGTCAGAATCAAATTTCTTCACAATAAACCAGATCATGCGCTCATTGAGATGGAGGATGGATTTCAAGCTGAATTAGCTGTGCACTTTTTGAAGGTTCCATTGAAATTCTACCTTTTCCATACCATTGAGAAGCGGTTATTTGTTCTCCCCTTACCTTACCTACGTCTTCCAGATACAATTTGTTTTGCAAATTTGGATCATAGGTCGATTTATAGATTTAGATTATACATTCGGCTTCATATAATGTTTCAAATTTCAGGAACATGCAATTAGAAACTGCTTTTTAAAAGCAGAAGGAAAGATGCTTTGAGCATGTGTAGGCTTAGGCTTCGTTTGGGATGGTGTTCTTACTATTTCTTAAAACAACTTTTTATTACAAAAATTCAAATTTGTGTAGTAGAAAGCTGCTTTAACAAGCAGTAAGAAAGCCGTACCAAATGAAGCCTTAAATTTCAATTCAACTGGACAATTTTTAACTTTTTAAGGCAGTTGCATACTTACAACTTTTTTATTATTATCCAATAAGAGTTGAAGTAGCCAAAACTGTAAGCCTTATCTTACAGAATAAAGAAGCATAGCACATTCTATTGCTTGTTTTCTGTAGACTGAACTGTTTTCTTGGCACTATGATTTTATTCGAGCTACTATCCTAGAATTTTATATATTCTGCATTTTTATTGAATCTTCTATACTAGAAATAGAATTTTTAGGTTCTGCGTTTCTTTTTCTTTTTTTTTTCATTGATTTGTTCTTCCATGAGTTCATGAAATATAGGCTGTAGGTTGGATTTTTTTTTTTTTGCAAGTTATTTGAACCTCAGACTCACTTTTAGGCTTTGTTTGGGACAATTTTTTTATTGCTTCTTAAAGCAGCTTTCTCTACTAAAAAGCTACTTTAAGAAGCAGTAAGAAAACCGTCCCAAACGAAGCCTTATAGATCCGAGGTAGACATCAGTTAAACCCTAAGGATGGTGTCACTTCTGAGATGCCTGAATTCCTTAACATCCTTACATATAACTCACATTTTCTTAATCAGTCATCGTATCTATATCTATCCTTCCTTTCAGGGTGCATTGCTGTTTGACAAAAGGCTTGAGGTGAACTTCTCCAAGCATTCAAACATCACACCTGCTCCTGATGCACACGAGTATGGAGGATCTAACCTTAACCGCTTCAACCGCAATGCGGCAAAGAACTACCGCCATTGTTGTGCTCCGACAAAAATGCTTCATATATCCACTCTCCCACAGGAGATCACAGAGGATGATCTGGTGTCTCATCTCGAGGAGCACGGAGCAATTGTTAACACGAAGATCTTCGAGGTGAACGGAAAGAAGCAGGCTCTGGTTTTGTTCGAAAATGAGGAGCAGGCTACTGGAGCCCTTGTTTGCGAGCATGCGAGTGAAATCGACGGGTACACCATTCGTATATCTTTCTCTCAGTTGCAGAACATATAGATCTCCTTCTCCCACCTTTACTCTCCTTGGAGATCTGAAGTTGCTGTCAAATGCTATTTGATTTGTTGTGATTTTGTAAGATTGATTTGTGCTTTGCTTTGATGAGCTTCTTTTGCTTGAATGTATTGGTTTTTGTTAGTTGTTGGCTGTCTAAACAGATTTTTAGAATGCTAATTCTTCTGTTTCTGTTTTGCTCTGAATTTGTATCTGTTCGACGTCTCTAAACATTTTATTTATGGGGTTTCTCTCTGCTGTGTGCATGTAGTTATCTGGTCTTTTGGTTGAAAAATTATTCTGTGCGGAGGCTGGATGTCAAGAATCGTTTGGATTTGCTGCTATTTAGCTGTGCTTTTGCAAATACTCAGCAAAAGGGCAGCAAATAATGCATATTTGCTACCCTTTTGTTGAATATTTGCAAAAGCGCAGCAAAAGAACAGCTAAAGTACAACAAATATCATACTAATTGTATATTTGCTGTCCTTTTATTTTTTGTTGTGCTTTTATAAATGCTCAACAAAAAGACAGCACAAGTGTATTTATAATTGCATATTTAATGCTTTTTTGTTGAATATTTGTAAAAGTGTAGTAAATGGGCAGCTAAAGGATATCAAATTCAGACGGTTCTCATTGTTTGGTCTTTGCACAGAATAATTTCTCCCTTTGATTAGCTTTTTTATGAATGGTTTTATTTTTTAATTTATGTTTTAATTTTGTGAGTGCCAAAGAATAATTTTGATGCAAGTGAAATTAAGCTTAGAATTTCAATAATAATTTGAAAGATTTTTATCAATTAGGTTAGATCAATATTTATATAGTTTATAATAATATTTATGTAATTTAGAAAAATTAATATATATTTTTCA